ATATATAGAAAAAAGTAGCCAGGCATGGTGGCGCATGCCTGTAGTCCCAGCTACTTGGGAGGCTGAGGCAGAAGGATTGCTTGAGCCCAGTAGTTTGAGGTTGCTGTGAGCTAGGCTGATGCCACGGCACTCTAGCCCAGGACAATAGAGTGAGACTCTGTCTCGGGAAAAAAAAAAAACAAAAAAAAAAACTGCTATGTACTCAGTGTATTAATACTGCTATGCACTCAACAGTCTGCTGTATACTTTCCCACTTAATCTTCACAGTAATTTTATCACATTTATCAAAGAGGCTAAGAGAAATTAACTTGCTCAAAAATATACTTTTTAATCTTTTTATGCTCTCCCAAGATTGGGTTAGCAGTTTCTCCATGTGCTACCCTACCACAGCAGTTACTACACGGTCTTCCCTATTAGACTAGAAGCTATGGGTGCTAGGAACTATATTTTGTTCACTGCTATATCCCTTCTATCAGGAAACAGAACCAGGCATATGGAAGATGCTCCAAAAAAATACTAGTTAGGTGACGTGAATGAATGAAGGCTGATCTTATATCCATTGCTCTATTCTGAAAACAACTGTTTTCCTTGTAACTTACTATTCATTGCCTATTTTCCCCTACTAGAATAGAAGATGCCTGTGAAAACATATTACTGTGTTTTGTTCACTGCTGGATTCTCAAAGCCTAGAACAATGCCTGGGACACAGTAAGGGCCCAATAAATATCTCCTGGTGAATAAACAAGTAATAGCTGTGTGGACAAGCAAATTCTACCCGTCTTTTTGTGACATCAGTGTATTTTTTCCTGATGCTGATCTCAGTCAGAAAATTCTCAAGAACAACCATAACACTGTGAAATGGGTGAGTGGGGAGTGCTGAACACTCTGGCTTCCTGAGTTACACATTCACTTGCAGCTCGGTGATCAGAAGGGGAACCACAGGAACACTACCTCCAAGAGCACTGCCTGCGGGAAGGAGGCACTGGTGGCCGGCCGGCACAGGATGGTCTCGAACTCCTAAGCTCAAGCAATCCTTCCGCCTTGGCCTCCCATAGTGCTAGAACTACAGTGGTGTGAGCCACCGTGTCCAGCCAGTAACCATCACATTAAGAAAAAATTAAATTTACCACACTCACGGGGGGGAGGGAGGAGGGGACGGGTATATGCATACACAAAGAGTCCTGTGTGCACCATCCGGGGGATGGACACGCTTCGAGCTCAGACTTGGGGGGCAGGGAGGGGCAACACACGTAACCTAAACATCTGTACCCACATAATATGCTGAAATAATAAAAAAAAAATTTACCACACTCACAAAATTACAATTAGTGTATTTTCTTTTCCTGTGCATGTATATATATATATTATGCATATACATACACATATGCTAGTTTTGTGTTTTTTCACTTAGCATTATGCCATGTTTATATCATAAGGACTTCATAACTATCCAACTAAATGCTCCCATATAAGGATTTTTCAAAGAAATTTATAATTACAAAGACAAACTTTCTTAAATACCCAAATCTGGAATTTTTAGGGAAAAGGATAAGATGTGAGCTCATGGTGCTTGGTACATATTACAAAATTGCTTTCCCAAAATGTTGTACCAATTTACTCAGCCACCAACTGACAATTTATCACTTAAACCATGTCATTGATACAGGAGGGAAAAAGAAATGTCATCAACCTTTCAATTTGCATTTAAAGACACTGCTAGGGATAAAGAACTTTAACCGTGATTAGTTACTAGTTACATTTCTTCTCTTATAGAATCATCACAAGTATTGGGGAGAAAAGTTCATCTGCTACTAGTAGGGCATCCCTTCCCTACGGAGGGAGTGAATTGTTAAGAGTAGAAAGACCAAGGGCTTTGAGATTCAAATACATCTTATGCAAAGAGCTGGACATACATGCACCAACCATGTGGTGAAGTGTTAGTTCCATCCACTCATTTACAAAAGACCAACACATTTGTAAGTCTAAAAGAAAAATCTGATCTAAAAGGAGGATTTGATCATTTGGCTAATATTCTTAAGAGTCACTCTGAAACCATCCTCTATGAGTAAGGATCCACTTTACGAACTACAAAGGCCCATTTTTTTTCCATAAGCATTAACTTTTTTATAGTCAGGTGCTTATACTTATTAAGCACTTGCTCAAAACAAGCTGTCACATATCAATTAACTTTTTTTTTTTGGAAACAGGTCTCACTCTGTTGCCCAGGCTAGAGTGCCTTGGCATCAGCCTAGCTCACAGCAACCTCAAACTCCTGGGCTCAAGCAATTCTCCTGCCTCAGCCTCCTGTGTAGCTGGGACTACAGGCGTGCACCACCACACCTGACTAATTGTTTTATTTTTAGTAGAGACTGGCTCAGGTTGGTCTAGAAATCCTAAGCTCAAGCAATCCTCCCACCTCGGCCTCCCAGAGTGCTAGGATTGCAGGTGTGAGTCACCTCGCCTGGCCTGTCAATTAACTTTCATGACAACCCTAGAGATGGGTACTAATTATTCATCTTACATGAGAAAAAAACTCTGATGCGTAGGGAGGCTAAAAGTAACCTGTTTGAGGTCACACAGCCTCAGTTTGAACCCAGGCAACCTACGTTGTTAATCAAGCAGTCGGCTCTAATTTCTTTTGCTAGCTATTGCTATCTCCTCTAGGCAAGTCAGGGTAAAAGTCAGCAAAAAGTAAATAAACTCCTGCTCTTGAGCTGAGAAAGATACTCTACACTCACACATGCTACTGTTCCTAACTGCTCACAATTTAATGATTTTGCCTCGATGGTCTAGACTGAATGGAGGAAAAAGGGTGACTGAATCTAAAACCCTAAAGCTAGAACACATTTCAGGGAGTGATGCACTTGAACTGCCACTGCTCCCCATCCAGATGGTTCTAAACTCTGAAGCAACTTGGCCCAGTTGCTGCTATCTGGGCAAGCCAGGCAAGCTTGGGTTGTTACTTCCTGTCAAGCACTGAAAGAGTGATGGTAGTTATACAAGTCTATCATTAACCTCTTTCTTCATTCCTTCCAGGCAAGTGCCTGACTTGATTATCAAAACAAGCCATGTTGCAAAGGTGAAAATTTACTGTTACCTTCCTCATCTTTCTGAGCAAAAGTGTATGCGTGTGTCGGGGGGAGGGGGAATACCAGCACTGATGATTAAGTTTATTATACTGGGAACCATCTCCTAAGGAAGGGAAAACCCAGACATTTAGGTTTTTCATACAAACATGCACCCAATACCCAATTTATCAATCTGAAATGCAATACAATAAAACATTAGTTCATACAAAAATATTAAATGTCTTTTAACAACCTTCTTCCTCTTTAAAATACAGGGTAACATTTTAATACTGACATATTTATCTATGATATAGACATAGACTACTAAATTCAGACAACCTAAGAATCCAAACAGAGAATTCTTCATTGATGTGACTAAATCAGGGATAAAATACCTCTGAATTTCCCATAATTTGTTTTACCATTATCCTTTCATTAATACTTTTTATACAAACTATTCGTTTTATCTTGGCTAGTTAAGATAGTTTAATTCTCAATAGATTTGAGTATAACATGATAATGTGGTCTGGTTTATGTTACCATGATCTGCAATTATCCAACTTATCAGTTTCTTAAATAATCAGTTTCTCCCTGCTTTGACTTGGGAGCCTGTTTCAGAGTGTGTACTCTTGAACAGTCTCATGCCTTTTTGGGCACTGTAACTATCTAAGAGTTGAATATGTTCTGTGACTTACAGAGGGTATGGGGCAGAGAAAAGGAGAAGATAGGCAGGTGCTCTATGCACACATCTATTTTCCCAAAGCAGACACTGAAACCATGTGAGCTGAAAACTTCAAATGGAGTCAGTCTTAAGATGGAGTAAGGGACAACAGACAGGATCAGAAAGCCCAGTTGCTTCCAGTGTTGACTTGCAACACAGAGATGATAAGCTGATTGTTAATAAGGAAGAGATGGCATAGAGTAGGCCTATGTTGAGTTTTAGTGTTTGCTCTGTTGCCAAAATTGATCTTGAATAAATCTAAAACTCTTAAGCCTGTATATTCAGGGAGGAAAAGTCAGAGTTGGAAGGGTGATAAGAAGTATAGTTTGAACTCTGAGCCAGTTATATAGGCTGGAGATATTACAGGTTCGGTTCAAGACCACTGCAATAAAGCGAATATCACAATAAAGCAAGTCACACAAACTTTTTGGTTTCTCAGTGCATGTGAAAGTTATGTTTATGCTATACTGTAATCTATTAAGTGTGCAATAGCATTATGTCTGAAAAAAGTACATACCTTAACTTAAATACTTTATTGCTAACAAAATGCTAACGAAATGAGCACATGCTGTCAGAAAAAATGGCACCAAAATCAAATTTGTAAAAAAAAAAAAAAAAAAAAAGCAATATCTGCTAAGTACAATAAAAGAGGGAATGCCTGGTACTATCTTTTGCTTCTGAATTCAGCAACTTCAGAACCCTTCCTTCTAATGAGTGGTGGTTAAGCTGCATCACAAAACCCTCACGCCACTAAGATTCAACTACTGAACACAGAATAGCAGGGTCTACTGTGTGAATGTAGCTTTTACACTAACCATGGGGGAAAATAATTCTTTACACTTGCTTACTTGCTTTACTTTTTTTTCTTCTTACATTTCCTTTACTTACATTCCCTCACCAACAGTAATTCTCACTTCTATAGAAGGGAAAAAAGGTACAAAGTGTATAGATTTGGGTCCATGGAAAATGGCAGCGTCCAAACTGGGGCCGTGCCTACCAATAGTCTCAGCAGGCTTCTCCCTTAAAACCCCTCCTCCACCCGTCCTAACACTCAGGCATACAAAGGGAGTTTTTCATTATGTCCTTAAAGTTAACTGCTCTGGATGCTCTCACTTCACATGAGATGGTTTCAAAATTCCCCCCATGCTTGTCTTAAAGCAAAGGAGGGGAAAAGAGAAAATTAAAATAAAATAAACCATATATACAAATCCCAACGTACATAAACTGGATGATTTAATTTTATACGATCAAGGGCCAAATTGAAACCTGATAATGAAAATGAACACGGCAATAGTTTCTTCAAGAAAATAAACATCTGGAGGGAGAAACATTTTCTTAAAAAAAAAAAAAAATGTTTATTTGGAAAAGTTAGCCTCTTACACAAGGTTTTGTATCTATACTTTCACTCTGTCAATTACAGTGGTATTTTAAATGCATTGAATATAATTTATTGAATGACTATATCTTTCTACCTCAATTTAAAAGATATTAGACTAAAAAAATATTTACAGTTTTCATTCTGGTCCATCCTCCCTCCTATCCTGATACTGAACCCATTTCTCTACTTTTCAGGTAAGTGAAAAGAGTCACAGAATTTTTAGGTTTGTGTGGAGAGTAAGAATGTATCCAGTAATTCTAAGCATAACATAATTTTTTTAAGGCCTTCTCAGAAAACAGAAAGGGAATTACTTATCAAAACTAAGCACACTTAGCAGCTTCCCTCCCAATCTTATCTTTATTGGTTTGCCTGGTGCCAAATTTTTCTGGCCCTCTTTAATTTGCAAACATTGAAAAAAATTTAAAAAAATACCAAACACATACAAACTGAGTATCTCACACATAGCTCTAAGCTAGAAGCAGATATAAATGGGACCACTGTGAATCAAAGGGGAAAAATTCCAGGAAAAAAAAAAAGATTCCAACAGTCTCACATATTAACGGAGGTTTTGGAAAAACCTAAGCTGAATTTAGTTGATGTTTGAAATATCTGTCTACATTTAATTATATGTGTTGTATTTACTAAGGAGGCACAAACAGATAGTTTTGATATATAGCTTCGCAGATTTTAATACTAAGTTTTACAGTTTGAAAAATAATACCCAAGTGATTTCAAAAGGGGCAATGATCTGTAACTACTCAAAATGTGTCTTTGAACAGGGGAGCAAAAGTAGTGATTTAATGAGAACAACCCTCAAACACTTACTTGGCTTCTAATAAGCATCCCAAGAAAAGGTACCCGATAGGTGTTAACAAGCACAATGTGGCTAGAACAGCCAAGGTGTGCCCCAAGGTTTATGCTTTAAATTTCCTAAATACATAGCTAGCAGGCACATATGCCAGGCAACTACTGATGCTAGAAGATATCTGAGTCGGAATTTTGTAAGACCTCCAACTTTCAACCAATATTTCTATTCATAAATCTTCCAGTGAAAATGTCTGAGAATATATTTACAAATAGCAAGGAAGCAAGATTAATTTTAAATTTTAGATTGGCCTCAAACAAGTTAGTTATTTTTCCTTTTAACACAACACTCAAAATTGATGAATTCAACAGCATGGTTTAAAAAGTTAAGGCTCTCTAAAGAGTTCTAGAGACTAAAACTTAAGGCACATGTTATAATCTTCATGACACTGTTAAAAGCTAAAATTAAAACAAAACAAAACCAAACCTACTTCCTTCCCTCATCCTTTGCCGCCAACCACTCCCTCCCCAAAGAATATGGCGTATTTAATTCAGGCTATTGGTAAGGAGTGAAACAAAAATTTCATCAATGAACACCTGGTATGATTTTCACATAAATGTCCACTATCTGCATGAAGCACCACTGGTAGATGACAGGCCAGTAGAATATTTTCAGATATCTTGAGTCATGAACTGCTCCATTTACCCTTCAGCCCCATGGGTTCAGACTGGACTCTCCTCCTCTTTGGGGCCTCCTTCTGTGCCTTTCTGGTCCGGAGATTCTGCTGCTTTAGTAACTTCTTTTGGCTTCTCAGCACCATCTATACTGGTTTCCTCCTCCTTACTTTCCTTTTTCTCCTCCTCTGCTTTCTGTTCTTTTGCCAAAAGTCGATAATTGATGCCCATGCCAATGAAGAGATAGATACCTGCAATAATTAGGATTACACCGCATGCCCAGTATGTGTATTTGTAGTCTCCATATTTGTCATTGAGAGAACCTAAACATGTTAAAAAAAAAAAAAAGTTAGGTGGGTAAGAGTAAACAAGGTTTCTTTTCCCAAACAAAGCTGAAGCATCGACTCAGAAAGATGTCAATCCAATCATCACAGAGCCCACAAATGACAAATGAGTATAAAAAGGAATTGCTAAAAATTATCTGGTCTTCTGTTTATAATATCTCACTTGTTTTGAATGGCTTTGCACATTCTGTTACTTTTTGCAATTTAAAAATCATTAACTCTTGGCAAATCTGAATTGGGAAACACATAGAGATCACCTAGAATCTATTTTCTCAATACACTATGGAAAAAGTTGTTGCTCAAAAAATGTTTGTTTGCTCCAAGACCTTAGAGCTATTCCAATTAGCCAGGCATATGCTCTTTCTCTATCAGCATTTCCAAAGAGTGTTCCTGTGAACGTTTGTCCTATGCTAAAAATTTAAGAGCAATCAATACCTTAATACCATTCTAAGTGCTTAATCCTTAAACAGATTTTATCATCCCCATTGGAGAGATGTAAGAATTGAAGCACGGAGATATTAAAGCTAATAAAGTAAGTGAAATAGCTTGTCTTTAAACCCAGGAAGTCTGACTCTGAAGTTTGCACCCTTAACTACTGTGCTACAGGATACAACTCTAATGTTTCAAAAGTGAAAATGAATTTGGGAAATGGAATGCCATATTCTTTTCTATTAAATATTCACAGTGTACACTAGCGTATTAAAAGCTTTGTGAGGTCCTATAGTAAAGAAACTTATTAAATTTGGTGTTTCTGTACTTTTTTTTTGGCCATGAAACTCTTGTTATAGTAAAATTTATTAGCCTCTCATCAAACTACTATCTCCTGGAATAAACTTTGGAAAACTCTGCACTTATACAGGACTACACCATAACCAATTCAAATATAATTCCATATGGCTCTCTAGCCCAGGGCATCATTCACTCAGCAGTATTTATTGAGTCTCTATCATATACCGGGCACTGGCTCTGCTAAGCACTGAGGACAAGGATGAGCAGAGGAGGTAACATCTACAGTCAGTGGAGAAGAGAGATGTTAATCAAATATTGTAACTACACAAACTGTGAGAGTGCTACAAGGAGGGTTTTGAAAGCAAATAATCGGCGGTTGGGACCAGCAAGTGGGAGCAGGAAGGCTTCTCTTAAAGTGTCAACTACCTTGAGATCTGCAGGAAGATAGGAGTTATCTAGGAAAAAGGGGATGGGAAGAGGATCCAGGCAGAACAGCAGTGCAAAGGCACAGTGGTAGGAGGAGGCACGGTATGTGAGAGGGGAAGGAAGAAGGGCCAGGTTGCTGAAGCAGAGAGACCAAAAGGCCAGTTGAAGGAAATGAGGCTGGAAGACAGGTGGGGCCAGGCCATGCAGTGCCTTGCAAGCCACATTAGGGAATTTGATCTTCACTCTAAGAACAATGGAGAGCAACTGGAGAGTTTTTTAAGAGTTCTGAACTGGAGACTTTGAAGAGATTGAAGAACAGCTAGAGTAGATACAGGCAGACCAGTTAGGACCAGCCCAAATAGGAGACAGGAGCTTTGGATAAAGGAGGTAGTTGTGATGGAGAAAAAGAGACAGATTAGAAAAAGACTTAGAAGATAAAAACTGACAGGACTTGGCAACTTACTGGGTATGAGGTGGAAGGAAGAGAGCAATATCAAAAGATAGCTGCAGATCTTCTATTATGTAACCTCACTCCCCAAACCAAAATTCCCAAAGTATGATTCACATCTAGAAGGAGGGTCAAATTATTTTTTCACTATGCATTATCTATTGGGCTATTAATTGAAAGATGAAGTATTTAGTAATGTTAAGGAATAGCTCCCAAATTATAATTGATTTACTAGCTGCATGATCTTAGCCAAATTATTTCACCTTTTGATGCTTCTATTTCTTCATTTATGAAATGCAGACTACAACAGTCCTCCTACCTCATAGCCTTGTGAAATACAACAGGATATAGAAAATGGTTAGCACGGTCCCTGGTACACTGTGAGCTTATGTGGTAGCTATTATTATACTATTACTACTGAAATAAACTCCATTATTAAAATGAAATCATTACTAGTATTTTAAAGGTAGAGTTGTTTTTCTATGTGTTTTTCTATAATAAGCATGTTAGTTTTATGATCAGGAAAAACAAATTTTAGGTGGGGGACGGTGGCTCACGCCTATAATCCTAGCACTTTGGGAGGGTGAGGTGGGAGGATTACTTGAGGTTAGGAGTTAGAGACCAGCCTAAGCAAGAGCAAGACGCCATCTCTACTAAAAAATAGAAAAATTAGCTGAGCATGGTGGCACATGCTTGTAGTCTCAGCTTCTTGGGAGGCCAAGGCAGGAGACTGCTTGAGCCCAGGAGTCTGAGGTTGCTGTGAGCTATGATGATGCCACGGCACTCTAGCCAGGGCAACAGAGTGAGACTCTGTCTCAAAAAAAGAAAAAGGAAAAAAGAATAAACAAATTTTAAAAAACATTGATATCTGTAACAATATTTGATCCCCTTTTGGCTTGATGGTTCAATTTAATTTGATTCTGTAAGTATTTGAGCAATTACAGTGTGCCATTGTACCAACACCAAGGGTACAGAAATGAGAAAGAGCTGGTCTTGGTCAAACAGTTCACTAATCTCTGCTTTCTATCACCTTGCCAATCTTATATGTCTGTTTTATAATAACAGAACTACAGAGGTAGCGAGACATACTATACCTAAAAGTGGTGGCCCCAGGAGGACAGGACAGCATTCCACAATGGTCACCAATCCCACAGCGCTGGAGAACCTCTGAGGTCCGACGAGGTCCATCAGTGTTTCAAACAATACGGAGCTGAGCCACCCAAAGGCAAATCCAAAGAATCCCGCATAGACACAGAACCCAATGTAGGTAGTGGATAAAGGTGCTAGCAAATGACACACTCCATTTGCGATAATGGAAGCAGCAAAGAAATACTGAACTCGAGGTCTTATCCACTTTGTATTGGCTACAAGTCCCATGGAAGGTCTGGCTACCATGTCAACAAAAGCCAAAATGGAAAGAAGGAAGGCAGACTTCTCACTAGAATAATGCTGACTCTTACCATAATTACTAAGAAAGACTAAAGGTGTAAAGAGTCCAAAAAACATAAGCACATTTCCAGACAGGTATAGCAAAAAGCCTCTGTGACTGAACAGGGATAAGTCCAGGAATTTATTAATTGTTTGGAAGGCTGATTGTTTCTCTTTTTTGGGGTGTCCTCCAATAAGATCTGTATTTGCATCGCTTGTACTTTTTTTGGCATCAGATTTTCCAGGTTCCTCAAGGGAATCTTTACTTCTCTCTTTCCCTGCCTTAGTTGGCTTGGGCCCTATTGGTCGCATCAGGGATCCAGCTACACAGCAGTTTAGTAGTAAGCCTCCAAGAATTAGGAAGCTTCCTCTCCAGCCAAAGATACCGAAGAAAGCTTGATTGAGGGGGGCCAGGGTAGAGAGGAACACAGGGCTTCCTGCCATGGCCAGTCCATTTGCTAGTGGTCGCTTCTTGTAGAAATACTTGCCAATCATGGTCAGAGCCGGGTTCAAGTTGAAAGCAAGTCCAAGACCTGTGGAAGAGGGGCGAAAAAATCCCACATACTGTAATAAACATCAGAAATATCTTTGAAATTACTGAACCAGACAATAAAACTAAAATAAGAGGCATAAATAATGGGAAGGAAACAAAAATCCTCATTATTAGAAGAGATGTTATATAGTGGTGTTCTAATAAAGACTGTATGGGTTTCAATCTCAGCATCACACTTACTACTGGCTGTGAAATCTCAGATGTGTATACCCTCTTATGACTATTTCTTAATATGCAGAACGGGCACAGGGCACTGTTTTGAGGAAGAAAAGTTTTGTATAGCACTTAGAACAGTGCCCAACATGTAGTAAGCAATCAATAAATGTTAGTTATTTTATTATTGCTGTTTTTATTATTTGAAGGTGAATAACTATTTTGTCAAATCTAACAAAATCACTGGAATGATTATTATAACCATACGAGATCATTAAGTAGACAATTATCAAACAGAGATAAAACAGATTTAAAACAGAAAACACAGTACAAAATGATCCCTTTCACTATAGCACCAAAAAATAAAAAATGTGCAATTTATAGGGCTCAAACTGTGAAATTTTCCTGAGAAGCCAGAGACTCAAAAATAACACACCAAGTTTTGGGAAAATAAAACACAACACTGTCAAGATGTCAAGGCTCCCCAAATGAATGCACTAATTTAATGTAATCCAATGAAAATGTCAGTGGATTTTATTTTGAGATTGAGGTAAAATGACTCTAAAACATACTTAGAGAACAAATACATGGAAGTTACCAGGAATTTTTGGTGATGCAAGGGAAGGAGTGGGACCAAGCATATCGGATATTTACATGGCTTTATAGAAGCTACAATCCTTAGAACAGTGTTGCCCTATCTCAGGAATAGGTAAACAGTCATCAGTGAAAGTGGACAGAAAGTCCAGGAACAGACCTAAAATATATATAAACATTTAATGTAAGATAAAGTGGACTTTTAAATTAATGAAGAATAAATTATTCAATAAATAGTGCTAGTAGAAGTAAATATTCAAAAAAGCTCTCCCTAACCTCTGCTTGCCCCATACCATCTATGTTTAAGTCATTCCCAGAGGCTTAAACCAATAAACCAGAGCCGGTCACTCCCTTACTTCAAACCTCCAAGGCTTCCTAGCTACAACCTTTGCCCCGGCCCTTACTTCCCTATCTGACCATTCTCACACGTGCTGATAAGCTCTATAGGGTCTATGGTCCCCCAGATTTTCATAAAACTGGCTCCTTATTGTTATTCTGATCTCAACTTAAAGTCATCTCTTTAGTCAGCTCTTATCTGTTGAGCCTGCCCAGGTCTTCCCTGTCGTAACACTTCATTTAAGGCTTTGTATAGCATTTATCACCCCTCAATATTTTTCTGTTCTTTTTTCTTTATTATAGACAGGGGCTTGCTGTCACCCAGGCTGGAGTACAGGGCACGATCATAGCTCACTCTAACCCTGAAGTCCTGGCTCAAGCAATCCTCCTGCCTGAGCCTCCTGAGTAGCTAGGACTACAGGTATGTGCCACCATGCCTAGCTAATATTTTTCTTATTTATTCATGCATTTGTGAGTTGTACTGTCTGCTTTCTCCCAATAAAGAGCATGACTTTTCCTGACTTGTTGCTCTATCTCCACAGCACCTAAAATGGTTCCTGACATAGTGTTCTTGTTCAATAAATATTTAATGAGTAAATTAATAAAAGATAAAATGAATCAACCGATTAACCATGTGGGAACAAATAGAGTTATATTTCTTTTTTGTCAGATGTTTTCATCCATTCAGAATTTTTAAATGTAAAAAATAAAGTGTAATAAAAAAAAGTGGACAAATATTTTCATAATCTTGCAATGGGAAACAATTTCGTAAGGATAACATATAAGACAAATCATAAAAGACTGAGAATTTTGAATACACAAAAACTTTAGATATATAATGAGGGGAAAAAGTGGGAAAAAACAATTTTAAAAATAATTTCAAACAAAATTCAACATCAAAAATCAATTAGGAACAGATATTTGTACACTGATGTTCACAGCATCACTACTCACAATACCCAAAAGGTAGAAATAACTCAAGAATCCATCAACAGAAGAATGGATAACCAAAATATAATATATATAAAAAACAGAATATTATTCAGCCTTAAAAAGTAAAGGAATTCTGATACATGCTACAATATGGAAGAACCTTGAAGACATTATGCTAAGTGAAATAAGCCATTCACATAAATAAAAATACCACCTATATGAGGTACCTAGAATAGTCAAATTCATAGAGACAGAAGGTAGAATGGTGATTAGCAGGGCTAGAGAGAGGTGGGAAAAATGAGGAGCACTGTTCAATGAGTATAGAATTTCAGTTTTGCAAGATGAAAAGAGTTCTAGAAATGGATGTGGTAATGGCTGCACAACAGTGTGAATGTACTTAATACCACTGAACTGTAAACTTAAAAATGGTAAGGATGGTAAATTTTTTTTCTTTTCTTTTTTTGAGACAAGAGTCTCACTGTGTTGCCCGGGCTAGAGTGCCGTGGCATCAGCCTAGCTCACAGCAACCTCAAACTCCTGGGCTCAAGCGATCCTCCTGCC